TAACTTGATAACCTTTTTTCCTGTAGGCTTCTTTGCCTCATACATTTCTGTCATAGAGTCTAGTGATCTGAACTGTCAAAAAATCTTAAGAGAAGAGACAATTGGTTTCCAACAATTTGAAATATACCTAGGCTTCTGTATTAGCTCTTGATGAGCTAGTTGTGTAATAATCAGTTCTATATTCTCCTTTGTTGGGTTTTTGTAACATTTATAGCTACTTAGTACTTCAAGTACATCATCATCATTAGCATCTAACTTGCCCTCCTTACACTGCTTTAATGTTTCTCCTTCATCTTTGCTTATGTATAAGGAAAATGCTTCAAGAAGAAAACTGTCAGAAATATCCCTTTCCTCAAACAAGCAACTCCCCATGAAAACACCCGAAAGAGCTACTGGGAAATACTTAATTTCACAATACCCATACACCAATATTTTACCTATGGCTTCCCATTCTAGGTGCTGGTATGCCTTACTGAAGGCACTTTCTCTGTTGCACCGGTTGACAAAGACGTAAAAAATTGGTGCCAAAACATTGTGATTACTTCTCGCACTACACCAAGACCTCTCCCTTCCTCAATCTCCCCACGCTCATTAATTATAACTAGATTTAGGTGGCCCCTGTAGGTAGGAATGTCCAGAGCTTTGAATGCTTCTATCAAGTCTTTGAGAACTTGGGATCTGTGTACAAACACATCCTTGACTAATACAGGTGCATTACCTAACAAAAACAAACACAACACTGAATTTTAAACAAATGGGTTGGTTACCAGTAACTAATCAAAATAACCATGGTTATTAAACAAGAGAATGCGGCTTCAGTGTCTAAATACCAGTTACCAAGCATTATTATTTGTGTCAATGAATATTCTATTAGCACATACCATTGTCAAAATCACTAAGTACATTTCCATCACTAAGCTGACTTTCACCACCAGATACAGGGCATCCACTAGTCAACGCATGTTCACTGACATCATCAGAGTTCAAAGCATCATTGCTATCTGATATGGCAGCTTGGCCAGCATCACTGTGAGCAGCAGCTTGGTTGGCATTTGATGTAACACCTGTGATATCATCTGCTCTGGTAACTGATCCAATACTTTGAGTGACATCCACAGGGACAAAACCTAAAAGAAGCAATATTTATTAAAACCTGACCGTCCTTTACAGGGAATCCGGGTGGGAAAAACAGAAAGCAACCTAACTTAGGACACTTCAGCGACAACAAAATGAATTATCAAATAAACACCACCGCATATTTTTCTTTGAAAAAGAGAAATGAATACAGAGCTCGACATTGCAGTTACTTGTAATCAAAGGGCACGTGAATATGAAAGTGTCCTAAATTATGCACGAAATCCGATCAAATAACCATAAAGCTAATACACCAAAGAGGTGACAAATCTACAAACTAAAATAAAAACATGATATAGATAAGTTCAAAACTTAGGCAAACATACCAGAAGAACTGCACTGAACTCCACTCGAAGTTGTACTAGTAAAAGATCCAGTGGACGCAGCGTCAAATGCTGGGAATATATCCCTGTCATCATCACCAAGATCTAAGTCATTCAACCATTCATCACTTAAGCTCTCTAATTCTGACGTGCAAGTCCGCTCGGGTTCAGTGTCTGAAGCATCTTCTAATGGGCATAAGAACAACGTAATGCGTGTGCAAGTCTTCCCAAGGTCTTCCTTGTATTTTTCCAATGTAAATGGCTCTTTTGTTCCCGGAAGAGTGCTCACTTCGTTTCCATCCGGAAAGCACAGTTTATAAGTCTTGTCACTTCTGAAAGTACGGTCGTAAGAACTTCGTTTCTTCAAGGCTTCGTCAAGTATTGCCTCGGCTGAGGCATGTTTCTTGACTTTTAGGGGAAGGGACTTGCCTCTCACGGGCTTGAAAACGCCGCACGATAGAGAACCAATCCCGATGGTTATGGTTACAAATTCGTCCATCTTCGCTTTCTTGGACTTGGAATTGAAGGTGGTTTGTCTCTCTTTCGACTTTTGGGATAAAAATTTCTTGAAAGAGGACACTTGACTAGCTGACGACGAAGATAAAGTTACACCGCACTTTGGGCAAAACTTGTGATCTGCTCTTCTCCAACCACCACAACTGTGACAAAACATGGCGGTCAGCGGGATGGACAAGAGCAAAGGGTCCATGTGACCAGAGCTAATCCCAGGTTCCGGTTGCTTTCAGCATCAGGGTTAGTTACCAGTACTTTGAAATTTCGTTGTGTTTCAATTAATTTTGTTGTGTTTTAGTTTGCGTTTGTGTATCAGAAAATTTTATTGTGTTTCGAAAAAGATTGTTGTGAATCAGGAAATTTCGTTGTGTTCTGAAAAAGAGTGTGGTGTTCTCCAAAAGATTGTTGTGTTCTCCAAAAGATTGTTGTGTTCTCCAAAAGATTGTTGTGTTCTCCAAAAGATTGTTGTGTTTTCCAAAAGATTGT